GAGAGAGAGAGAGAGAGAGAGAGAGAGAGAGAGAGAGAGAGAGAGAGTGTGTGTGTGTGTGTGTGTGTGTGTGTGTGTGTGTGTGTGTGTGTGGTGGGTAGCCTGTAATCACAGCACTTTGGGAGGCTGATGTGGGAGGACTGCTGGAGACCAGGAGTTTAAGACTAGCCTAAGCAATGTGATGAGACCCTGTCCCTACTTAGGAAAAAAAATATTCAACGTCCACAGTGTAAAAAGGATCAAGTTTCAGTGAGATGTCACTGAATAGATAAAACAGTATGGCACACAGTCATGATTCATTCTTTAGTTGAGGACCACAGAGAAACAGAAGAGGGGAAGGCTGGAAACCGATACTATGCTGTTTTTAATCTGGCTTGGTTACAGATACCCCCTTCCCTGGTCCAGAGACCTCAGCCTAGAAGTTTCACTCCTGCTGATTCATTTGCAAACTATAACAAAGAGAAAGCTTGTTGTTTTTTTTCCTCAGCGCCAGAGTAGTAAGGACAAACCCCCAGACCTTACCATTTCGGCAGCAGCTGAAAGGTCTAGGCTTTGCAGCTTGCCTGCCAGTTCATCAAGGAGGCGAGCCTGCTCCTCTTGTTTTTCCTTGAACTGGGACTCTCTCTCCATCATCACGTCTTCTACTCTGTCTCTCATGAGGGCTGACTGCTCCACAGTGCTGTTGGGTTCTATGGTGGAGGCATTCACCCTCTCCTCCGCCTCAAGAGACATCTGGAAATACTTGGTAATGCTATCCAAGGCACCTAGGGTAGGAAAAGAAATTGCCCACAGTTAACCTCATTGTACGAGGCTTTGTCCCCAAGCAGCGTCTATATTTGATGCCTTCAGGTCCTAAATTTACTATAAAATTCAAGAAAAAATGTGAATTACAGTTTTCTTTTCATGAGCACTGAATATGTTTTGTCCCATTAGCACCTACTCCAGGCTCTGGAGTATGCAAACATCTGGGTGAAAAGTGAAAAATTAAGAAAATCATGCAATCTTGTTTCTATACACAAGCAAACATCCAGTTCTTTATAAATAGTTGGTGTCAGGCAGCCTGAAGATTGACCAGATGACTTTTCTCAATCTTTTATTCAGGTCCACTCAAATGACTAATATAGTAGCTCTCCATATTTGTAGATTCCACATATATGTATTCAACCAACTGTGAATGGAAAGCATTTGGAAGACTGATGGTTGTGTCTGTATTGAATGTGTACAGACTTTTTTTTTGGTCATTTCCTAAACAAAGTATAACAACTATTTGCATAGCATTTACATCATATTAGATATTTTAAGTAATCTAGAGATTTTAAAGTATACTGGAGGAATAGCAAAGCTGGGTGTGATGGTTCAGCTCTATAATCTCAGCTGTTCAGGAGGCTGAGACAGGAGGATCACTTGAGACCAAAAGTTCAAGACTAGCCTGAGCAATGTAGCAAGAGCCCGTCTCTTTAAAAAACAAAGAAAAGCATACAGGAGCATGTGCATAGTTTATGTGCAAATACTATGCCATTGTATATAACAGACTTGAGCATCTGTGGATTTTGGTTTCTGCAGTGGGTCCACCCCATGGATACCAAGGGATGACTGTATTATTTATAACAGCATGACATGTTTTAGCTTTAGGAATCTAGTCCAAAAGCAGTCATGCATGAAACAGCATGGATAGTAGGACAGAATGATGTAACATATTTCCACATTCACTTTTTGCTGAGGATCCTATAAGGTATGTATGATATCAATAGTGATTTGCAAAAATGTTTTTTCTGACTAAGCAGCATTCTTGAATGTGAAAGCATTTGCAGAAGTATTAATGCCTTAACTATCCCAAAGAATTCGCTGCCAAGAAGAGGCCAGGATTAAACTACCAACTGGAGAAAAAAACCAGGAAGTGGATACCATTTGAATACAACTATTGCCACTCACTCTGTGGGACCTTTGCTATGTCTTTTAGGTTCTCTGTGCCCAAGTCCCACTCTGGAAAATGGGGACTTTGATCCAGAAACTGGATGAGCAAAAGTTTTAAAATTTATTAGAAAATTTTTGCAAAAGTGTTACATTAAAAGGTTAGACAGAATGTTAAATCCATTGTCTGGGACTGAGTATTTGCACCAAAAAATGCTCACCCCGAATATCTGAGTTTTTGATAAATTCCAGTTGTTCAGCAAGTTCTTTCACAGTGTTTTCTAGGCTTTCAGCTTCTGTCTGTAGAGAATCCAGTTCTTTGGTTGTGCTGTTGCTCTGGGAGGTTGTGTCAGACAATTTCACTTCTACTTGAGCCATCATTTCTGTAACATCTTTGGTCAGTTTCCTGTAAAGAGAAAGTTAAGCTTACCTACATAAAATAAAACCAAGGGAGAACTCTTACATTTCATATTTTCTACTAGTACTGTATCCATTACAAATTTCAAACCAATTCAGTAATTTGTAACATTTCATCTCTAAGTGCTGGTTTTATTTTCCTTATCATAACAGATTGCACTAAATCTAACAATTTTTCTTTGTTCAGAGACTTTTAAGAGAAACACAGAAGTACCACTCAGCTGAGTTGCAGCAGACAAACCATTTGAGGAATTCCAAATTTCTGCTGTAACATGAGCACAGGTCAGTGTGTGGAGGTCCAGCTCCATTCACAAGCAGCTTTGAGCGCTTACAATTGTGAAAACTCAAGACATAAATGACTCCAGTGTACAATTAGGCCTCCCAGCCACCAACCCAAAACATTCTTCCCTAAGCCTCGGGGATCTCCTTCAAGATGGAACATGCAGAGAGGAAGCCCTACAGCCTGCCACAAAGACAACAGCCACAAATATCAGCTTTCATACACCTCTCTTCCATCAGAGAAGCCTCCTTCATCTGTTACCAGCCTTTTTATTTTTTATAAGGAAGTAGCATCTACCGAGAATGAAAAAATACATTCAGTTTTCACAGTATTTCATTTGGAATCTAAACTGCATTTTGTTTTGTATCTTCAAATCTACCAAGCTGTACTTTCAACATCTATTTGTATATTATTGTGTACACTCTGTGTCTGTGTGTGCACTTGCGTGTGCTCTAGGTGGCTGTAGTTGGGGTTGTATGTGTATCATAAAGTAGTATTTCAGCAGACTTTACCTCTGGGTATTATTGGTTCACCTAATTGAATATAATTGTCTTCTCAGGGATACATTAGTATAAAAAATCAGAAAAATGTAAAGATGCTGAAAGGTTGGGAGCCATTAGAAAAGTGCTGTGTAAGGCTGAGAAAAAACCGTAGCCCAATTCAAACAAAAAGTACTTAAAGGGATTGTTTAAAATAGTAGATTAAGTTATATTTCAGTGCCTTTTTTCCTGAGGATAATATACATAGTTTCTTTTTTCAGTGCTTTGCTTTTATTAATCAGTTGACTCATAGAAGGTTTTAATTTCTTCTCAGGCCTCATAAAATGTTACATTTTTTTTTTAAACAAGCAAATCTAACATCATATTTTAAAATAGGGCCACTCTGGTTCCTACAACATGTATCCTTGGATAGCATGTTGAGAAAAGGAGTAATGGAACTAGTTTTCCTGTGATTATTATAATCTGTCTAGTTAAATGAATAGTGAGGGCAGAAACAGAGCTGTTTTGGGAATGTAATCTCTCTCCTGGCAGGCTCTCAAGGACACAGATTGTTTTTTTTTTTTTTCTCCCAGAGGTGAGTAAGACCCAGGCCAAGAATCATTTCCTAAATGGGCTTGCATTTGGACCATGGCCTGCCAAAACTGTGATTTCTGCACATTAGGAGGCTTAGTCTTTTCAGTGAGGTAAAATGCCTCATTAAATGCATTGTCACCCTACAGCAGACATTTCCTAACACTCTGGCCAGCTACATGGTCTTGAGCCTAAAACCTGAGGCTTGATATCAAGAGCCAGTTACTTTAAATCTAGGTCTAGGAAGGACCTCCTTCAAGTCACTTGAGCTAATGTCTGCTGTTCTCTGCTACTCATGCATGGTATGAGATGAAAAGTCCCTCTGGCTTCTTAGAGATGCTGATTAAAGTCTCATTGAGTAAGGTGTTCTCTTTCTGAGTCCACAAGGGGGCATAGCTTTAAGGGCAAGAACTTCCTAGCACCATGCCCCACTCCCATCTTTCTCCATCTGAGAGGCTTAATGCTTTATGTTTAAATTTCGTGGGCGCATGAAGAAACTAAGAGTCAGTCACTCCAGCAGAAGTTCTAA